ATAAAAACATTCAAATCTCCATATTAATATCACATCAATTGTTTAAATCATTTTTAGAAACCGTAATGTATCAATAAATATTAATAAATTATCATTTTCATTAACTTGATTATTTTGAGAAACTATAGAATTATCTAATTATCAAAGGATGATTCTTCACACCCTTGATTTATACAATAGATCAAATAATAATAAAATCACAAAAAATTTCATTTTCTAATCATCAATTAATTTTAAAAAGAAGAACAATGGTGTTTTGACAAATTTTAAGTTTTAATTTTTCTTGTGTATTCCCTAATACATGAGTATATATCCGTCTCTCAGCCCCCTGCAGAGTTCTGAACCACTAGCCAACCATTCCCAACCAAACAACTCCTATTGTATTTCTTCAAATTATCAATAACAGTAAGTAAATGTCACATTTATCACATTGCGCTCCGTGGTTCAACCACCCGTACCATTCTACCGCCAATTTAAACATGAGAAAAAAAGAAAACGAAATATTTTTAGCATCAAAGATTGATAATTAGCGATAAAAAGGGACTGTTTTAAAAAAGAATGAATTATTTAATTTTATTTCTATCCGATGTTTCTGTAAAGATAATTAAATATTCAAGCTTCTGGGATGGTATAAAATTGCAGAAACAGAAACATTAATAATCAGCCTTAAAATGGTTTAAAAAGATTATTTTCTATCGTTTTTACATCTTATTTTCTATATTTTTTTTACATAAAATTTGGATCATCTGAAGAATTTATCTCAGTGTTAACAATCAAGTCAACGGAATACATTTTTTTTCAAGAACAGTTTTTATGCATAATAATTTTGCAATTAAAGCAAAAACATTTAGTAACTGTCATTTCACCTTCATAGTATCCCCGGACCCTTATCCCCCCCCCCCCCNCCCCCCCCCCCCCCACTTTCTGGCAAATCTGAGGTGTGGCTCTCCTAAAACCTGTGAAAGAATTAATTAATTGGTAGAACGCGTTGAAATCTCTAATAGATAGATAGACAGATAAATAGATAGATATATAGATAGATATATTGATAGATATATAGATAGATATATAGACAGTTAGATATATAAATAGATGTATAAAATAAAGTTCTCTACAAAATCCAATATAAATACTAAATAATCCTTTGCAAACCCTCTGCAACATTAAACGTCATGTGCTAGCACATGACGTCATGCACGTCATGTGCTATTCAGGTAGTCTTATGCACGTCCTGGTATAGAGAAAATTTCTTTTGAAATTTTTAGATAGAATTTCTCCATCTACAAATTTACCAACTCTTTTAAGCTTCAATTTTCTGGTATCTTAAAATTTTGTATTAACAGTGAATTTAGACAAACCCTTAGTCTTTGTCATTGTCAGGTGTTACTTTTTAAACGTAGTTTCCTTTTAATTATTTTGTATTTTCCAGGGGGAGGCAAGAGGACTACTGCCCCCCCCCCCTAGGTACGCCACTGGAACCAATATGTGCACGCTCTCACCTAAACATCAAGCACTTACTCCTTTTTCAAATTAAGCTTTAAAAGCGAGTTGTAGTTTTATAATGTGTTTAGGGCTACAAACCGGCTACAAACAAGTGAAACCAAAAGCCCAAGTTGTTGCGACGCTTTAAAATAGAGGCAGTATAAAAAGCTTATGAATAACTTTCATAGTTGTTTAAATTATGTTAGGTGTACTTGCCCAAAGGATTTTCCGCTAGTGGCAACTTCCCGAATGTGCAATTTCCCAATTGGAAAATTCCAAAAACATAGGTTAGGCCCTCTCAGGCGCCCCTGGCTTCAATGGGGGCCGAGCGCTGCGGCTCTGACGGGCGAGGGGACCGAGCGCCGCAGCTAGAATTGTCTTGGGGACGAGCGCTGCGGCTAGAACAGACTTAATAAGTTGCCGCTTGGGAAATTGCACATTTGGGAAGTTGCCCCTTGGGATATTGTCCCTTGGGAAAATTCCTTTGGGAAAGTACCGAACACCTTAATTCTAGATATCACATATATATGCACATCTTCGATACATTGATAATTCTAAGCACACATCATGTGCTTATATACATTATAAGCACACATCATGTGCTTATATACATTATAAGCACACATCATGTGCTTATATACATTATAAGCACGCATCATGTGCTTATATACATTATAAGCACACATCATGTGCTTATATACATTATAAGCAC